TGCATGCATCTTTAAGAACAAAGGTCACCTGAGAAAGTTGCAGGCAGAAACTTTCTTTCCAGAATGCAAAATAACCATTGATAATACTGACTTATCAATTGTGATCCTGGGAGAGACAGCCCATGGCTCGTGAAGCAATACACTGGCCACCTGGAAAGCAGAAACTGTTCAACAATACTCTCAGTAAGTTCAGAATGGTGGCTAAATGTGCCTTTAGCTGTTTAAAGGGTCATTGATTGCTTACTAGGTTAGACCTCTGGGAAAGCAACATCCCTACTGATAGCACTGCTTGCTGTGGGCTTCATAATATCTGTGAGAGAGAGAGGTTTCCACAGGGATGGGGCATGGAAATGAACAGGCTGTCTGCTAATTTTGAGCAGCCAGATACCAAGGCTATAAGAGCTTAGCATGGAGCCCTGTGTCTCAGGGAGGCTTTGAAAACCCATTTCCATAATGAGCCACAGTAATGTGTGCTGTTTCTCTGTATTGTGCCTTCTTATAGTGAGAGCCTTGCTGTGTCTGCTGGGGTTTTGTCTTTAGCACATCTCCAGTGCCTCACTTTCCCCATCCCTCCCTTCATCCCCCCATTTTAAATTAGTAAAGATGAATTCATTCTCAGGACATGGATTTGTATTGAGCAAATCTACTGAAACTTAGAGATCATAAATAGAATTTAACCTGAGACACATGGGGAAAATAAAATTGGTAGGATAAAAACAAATTAATTTTATCTTTAAAGGCACAGTAGCCTTGGTTATCACACAACATTATATGTACAATTTTTATTCTTAAGATCCTCGCTTGGGGGTGAGTGGAAGGGGTATTTCATTTCTCCCCAAACACCTCCTGGTATGTTTGGGAGGGCAAGAGAATTAATATGGCAATGTTGGAATGTTATTGTGCAGGGGCTGCAGAAAGAGTCTAGTCTCAAGGTGTTTCGTCTCAAGGCCAGGCCGATAGCTCAACCTTCCTAATCCCGAGTTGCATGTCATGCTCCCTCTCCTGGGCTGCTCTCGTGCTCACCATGTCTAGTTTTTCAGAGAGAAAAATCCTCTATGCTCTCTGCTTGCTCTGTGCTATCCCAGTTGCATTCATAATCTTGTTAAACATGTCACCATGTGTTCTCTTTTGCCTTCATCTTATCTGGGAGACACTCTCTGTGGGTGTGAAGGAAGAGCTGAAGGCCACACTTTAAGCTGTAAGCCAGGGCATGCACAAAGCTTTCATTCTCATAACAGACTCAGTGTCTAATGCAGAGTTACTATAAAAATCACTTTTTATTTCACAGAAGTTTAAGGCAGAACATTTTCATTTACACAAGGTATTCATTGAGCTGGTTTGCTATCCCAGCTATAGTGACAGGGCCCTGGGCTATGGGTGCTGGACCAGCAGCTGCAACCCACAACAGGACCAAAGGTTAGCAGAAGGGTATGCCACCTCCCCTTTGTAATATAGACATTGTCTGAAGACCAGGAAGGGGGGGAGGGAGGGAGAGAGAGAAAGAGAGAGAGAGAGTGCGTGCGTGCGTGCGCACGCGCACGCACTGATGACAGTGAGTACCACAAAATTTCTCTTCCCGGTGCCATGGCTGCTAACCATCACCCAAGCCTTGTAATTACTAAGGACAATTCTGATCCCTGCCACCCAACTACAACCATGTTTTGTAAACCATGGATAAAGGGGTGGCAAATCACAACCAAGGAGCACAGGCACTATTGTTTGTGGTCTGAGCACTTGAAACAAGAGCTATCACCATTTCTCCCAGCTGTCTCTAGATCAGTGTTTTTCAAAGTAGTCCATAGACCCACTCTGAGGAAGCTGCTCCTCGGCCGCACCAGTTTCTTTACTTACTGGCTCCATAGCCAAGGTGCCTTGTGTCTCCCATTGGCTGCACTTTACCGTTTGCAGCCAAGGGGAGCCACAAACCACTTTGAAAAACACTGCTTTAGCTGATATCACTCTCTTGCCTCAAGGGAACTGATGCTGCAAGCATCCAGGTATAGATTGGGTTTTTATGCTCCTATTCTGCATTGATACCACTGTCCCTGGACCAGCCAAGGAAATGACTTGAAGTACTAGAGCTAATTTATTAGTACAGATTCTTAAGGGCAAGGTGACACATCACACTCATACTGGCAGTTGAATGTAGGCTGCAGGTGTGGCATAGATAACTTCCAATTTCACAGGTGGCTTGAGCTGGCCAGGCATCAGCTTCCCAGAGATTGACCACAAGGATTATGGTTATCTCTGGAGTCCTTTGGATCCACAGGAGGGCTAGTGCCTCTGATTCAATCCCAGGTTTAACATGATGTTACATCCCTTCCAAAAGGAGATGATCTTCCTGCCCACTTGTTAGTTAGTTTGTCTACTTCCCAGGGTCTTTGAGAAATACCCAGTCAAAGGCAGTTTAGGTTATGTGACCTTTTAAGGCAAACATTCACACCTCACACGTGTTCCACAGGTTACATACATATTCATAAGCATACATTAAACAATATGGTTTCTAGGTAAAATCCAGCCTCATGGCCTTGAGTAACCAGAATACATTGTATTGCTCAACATACTAAAAGAACATACTAAAAGAACCTAATGTAAATGGTTTTAGTTTGCATACCAACGGCATAATACAGAGTTTAACATAAATTGTAACTAAGAGAACCAGTGTCAAGGAAAGGGGTAAAACAGAGGAGGATGTTCAGCCAGCTAGATGCCAGTGAAGAGGAAGGAAGGAGGGGGGTAGTGACAGACCAGTTACACCAACCAAATTAATACTAGAGTGGCATGGGAAAGTGTCCTAACATGGTGGAAGAAATAAAGCAACCCTCCCCAGAAGTGTCCTGTAACAAATTGCAGAGTATCAGCAAAAGTTTCCTGGAGATCTATCTGGGGATTCCCAGGTCATCCCCTCTGTAAACAGCCTTTTTCATGGTGCATCCTTTGTCTAGCAGCAGGATTACAAATAACTCTTGGCCCTCTGGAGAATTAATCTCCCATTCTCCTGTCTCCTAGTCTCCTCCTCTTGTTTGTTGAAGACCTCCCTCCTCAGTGTTGCCTGGAGAGGCCTGGGACTTCAACACCTCAGAGGTGTCCATTCTACTCTTGAGAGTCAAGATGGGGCTGCTCCTGCAAACTGTTTGACTTCCTTGCCTTCTGGTATCCCTGTCTCAGTTCCTTAATTTTCAGTAAGCACTGCTGCATGTCCATTCTCCCTCATGCCACATGTAATCTGCTCATCAATATCTTTATTTCCATGAGTGGATTGGAGCTGTGCCTGCTCAGCTTTTGTTTCTATTAGGCCAAGAAGAGCCACCACTTCTTTTGGAGTCCAAGCTGGAGCACATTTGGAACATGAAGCTGAGCAGACAAAAAACATGCTGAAAAAAACAGGAGAGAAATTCAAACGTTCCTAAGTTCTTTAACAGATTGTTTCCTGTGTACCAAGATATTGTGCAGTAGAGTTGAAAATGTTTACTGGAGTGGTCACAGCAGAAAATTGCGGGAGACTTCCTAGAGGCCGGTTAGGTCAATGAAAGCAACTCAGTGTTTATGATGCCTCTTCATTGATCTAAACAGCAGCAAATTCATGCTTATTGCATAGTTGATCTATCAGGTGAGTTGTCAGTAGAAGGAACTTGTCAGGTAGATACATTCATTAGGTCAATATAAGACAGCTTACATTAACTCAACTTTGTAGTGTTAGACCAGGATTTGTGTAGAATGGAAAATATTTTCTCTTTTCATCACAAAATGAGATTTAAAGTGGATGAATAATTGCAAGACTTGTATCACTGAATTTCAAATATAGAAATTAATTATTGTGTGCATGTGGAGAGGAGCTAGAGATGGTAAAGCATGTAAAACAAATAATTTTGTAGACCTCACTTCAGAATTTTTTAAGGCATGTAATTGCCTTTTAAACATTCAGATCACTGACTACTAATTCTTTGTGAAGTAACATTGGAAACAGTTTTGATCAAATGCTTACATATATTCTTGTTGGAATTCTGTTGATCAGTATAACTGAGGTATTCAAATCACATGGAATGGTAAATATTTTCAACACAAAACAGTAAAAAAAAAAAAGAATAAACAAATGACCTAGATTCAACATAGTCTAATTATTTCAAGGCATGCAAAGTCTATAAAAATAAAATTTACTGTATTTAGAAACTCTAGCAAGGCACCCATTGTGAATGACAGACAGACAAACAATTAGATCTCACGGCTGTATACAGATGTTTTATTTTAGCTATCACAGCATGTGTGTGTTAAAAAATAGTGATTTAATTTAGTCAGAGGAACTGTTAGACGTTATTTTAAACAGATAAGTTGCTTACCGTAGAAGGAAAAATTGGTTTAGATATTTTAATGACTGATGTATACTGTCACAAGTTCTCAAAGTAAAACTTACCCATAAAACAACATCCTTCATATCACTAAAGCCCCATGTAGGGTCTGTGCAGGAGTGCTTGAGGTGAAACTCCTTGCATTCTTGTTAAAACTTATACATCTTAAACCTTATTGAACTGGTCATCTGAAGAAGTGGGCTGTGCCCATGAAAGCTCATGATACCATCTGTATGTTTTGTTAGTCTTTAAAGTGCTATCAGACTATTTCTTGTTTTTTAACTTTCTTCTGTATAGACTAACTCGGCTACTCCCTGAAGCTTATAGATCTTGTAACTGTATGCTAATGAGCAACTGCCATAAGAATAGATTTTATTAATATGCATTGCCTTGCTTATATAAGTGATAGAACACCCATTGTTTTCAAAGGGACCAAAATCAGGCCCCTTAAACCCATGTTCTTCTCTTGTAACAAGAAAAATAATGCTGTGTTAATGAAAAGTGACATGGTTCATAATTCTTCATGTAAATAAAATCTATAATAGTAAGTAATCTGAATGAAGTGAAGGGTAGATTTTAGTGGATTAGTGGGATATGTAATATGGGAGGTTAAATTAAAGCACTTAAATGATTACATTATTTTTTATCTTTCAGGACCTTGCCTTCCAAATCCTTGTCATAATGGGGGAACCTGTGAAATTAGTGAAGCGTATCGAGGGGACACATTCATAGGATATGTCTGTAAATGTCCAAAGGGATTTAATGGAATTCACTGCCAGCACAGTAAGTTTCAATACAGTAACTTTAGATTTATATACAAGCACCTTTAACATCTCTTTCTATGCTTGCAATACTAATATTGACATCTGTTCTGATTTCCAGGGATATCTAATTAGTGGTCCGTATGTAACCTACACACCTAGTCTGGTTACTGAGCAATGCAAGTGGTACCTAGACCATAGCAACAGTTAAGATCAAGAGACGTCTACAGCATGGGTTAGGTGCCAGCTGGCTTTTAGCTCAGAGGGTAGAGGCTCCTGTACTCACCTCCAGGGGTCCCAGGTTCAAATTCATTCAGTGGTGGTTACACTTACACCATGACCAAGTTAGTGCTCTTGCATGTTGCAAACACTACCAATTTTAAAATTACTTTGTATCATATTGGTGCTGAGCCATTGATAGGAAATGAAACAAAATTTAAATTAGTTGAGCTTATGCTAAGAATCTAGTCCTAAAGAAAGACTAACCGAATTCTGATCTCATTTACAGTGGGTGTAATGGAGAGTAGATATTGCCCAGATGTCTCTTGTAGCATATAACATAAGACCATAACATCATATGGCACTGGAAAAAGTTCAGAAGAGGGCCATGCAATGGCTTCTTTATGAGAAAAGATTAATAAAGCTGGGATTTTTCAGCTTGGAAAAGAGAAGACTAGGGGGAATATGATAGAGGTCTATGAAATCATAAAACTAGTTTGGCAAAAGTGAATAAAAGTTATTTACTTGCTCCCATAACACAAGAACTAGAGGTCATTAAATTAAATTAATGGATAACAGCTTTAAAACAAACAAAAAGAAGTACTTCTTCATGCAAGGCACCATCATCCTGTGGAACTCCTTGCCAGAGGATGTTGTGAAGACCAGGACTTAACAGAGCTCAAAAAAGAACTAGATAAATTTATGGAGGATAGGTCCATCAATGGCTATTAGTCAGAATGGGCAGGAATGGTATCCGTGCCTTCTGTTGTACCATCTGGGAATGGGCGGCAAGGGAACCTAGCACTGGCCACTGTCGGAAGTCAGAATACTGAACTAGATGGACCTTTGGTCTGACCTAGTAGGCCATTTTTATTATGTTATGATCATCATATTGATACTGTTTTGTTTTAATGTATAGTTACATGCCTGAAGATTTGGATTGACAATGCAATCCTACTCTAAGTCATTAATAGTAAACTCACACTGTACAAAAGGATATTTTCTAAACTGTCAGTAGCATCTCTGGAGTACTGTATCGTTATCCACACAAAATTATCTGTCACTCCCACACTCTAGGGACAAACAACTTTACCCAATTCCTAGTGCTCAAGGTATAACCTTGTTAATTTAAATACCCACTCTTACCCAATTTCTTGGGCTCAGGACATAACTTCCTGAGGGTTTGCAGGATCTTTGTACTAGTAAAAGAGCCTTACACAGTAATATACTTACTCTCTATTCATTAACTACTACCAAGCAAGCAGAATACACATGCTAAACATGATCAAAGCAAGTGAACGTTCCCTGTTGGCCAGCTAAGGCTCCAGTTTCATCTGGATTTTGGTTGCTGCACATCACAGTTATGCAGAGAATTCTTGGAAGCTCTAGTCTCAGATTATGTCTTGGAGGTTAATTATTCTTCTAGATCTTTCCTTCTTCTTTCTGTTCCTTTCTTCCTGGTCTCCTTTTTTGGACCCCAGTTTATATAGGGAAACATAACCTTAACTTTCATTGGAAGAAGTGAGTTGTGCCCACGAAAGCTCATGATACCATCTACATTTTTGGTTAGTCTCCAAGGTGCTGCAAGACTATTCATTATTTTTTAAGTTTTTTCGATTGTAGACTAACACGGCTAACCCTCTATAACCTTAACCAATTATTTCACTGACATTTTACTAAGCAATCATAACATGTTGTAATAAATTACCTAATCAATCATACCCCACCACCTTAGTTGATTTATGCCTAGAAAAATTAATTATACAGTAGACAAACAATTGAAAGCAGATAGAGATCATATAAACAATAGGAAAGTGAGGACAGTACTCATAAAATGAGTATTCTACAACCCCAACTACTGATAAAGAGGTTTTTTTTATCAGACAAAATGCTATCAAACTAAGTTTTCTTTACCCATCTTGAGATCTGTTTCTTTATCTGATGATATTGGGTGCTCTTAGGACAGGGCTTCCTTTTAAACAGCCTGGTATTACACTATTTTAATGCAATTTAGATGGAATGTGAGTGTGTGACTCCCTGTTTTACAGCTAATGGCTGCAGCTCTTTTAATCTAGCTACAGATGAAGGTTTAGGCTTTAGACCTTCCAATATGGGTACATGCATAGTTCCCTCTAAGGTGCGCACCTGCATGGCCACACACAAAAAATTCTTCCTCTGCCCATCTCCTTTGGACAGCCGCACAGCAGCACTCGCATGGCAGGTGGCATGGTATGGTGAGGGAGCCACTGGGAGAGGGGGTCAGGACCTGCCACAGCCACATTGTGGAGAGGGAGGAGGCCTGTTCCAGTGGCCAGGGCTGCCACATGGCGGCGAGGGGGAGCTTGGGGCATGTTCTGGCATCTTTGGCCGAGAACAGGACCTGTCGCATGGTGTGGGGGGGTGTCTGATTTGGTGGCCAGAAACAGGAGATGCTACATGGCTGGGGTTGCGGAGTCTGCTCCAGAGGCTGGGAACAGGACCTTCCCCATGGCAGCGGGGTGAGGGGGTGTGTGCTCCAGTGACTGGGAACTGAATATGCCACGTGGCTGGGGGAGGAGGCATTTCTGCTGCAGCAGCCGGGAAAATGTGTGTTATGAAATTTGGTGCCAGGGTGGCACATGACATCAAGATTGATGCACAAGCCAAAACTCACTTCTCTCTGATTGGAAAATCTTGGAGGGAACACTGGCTACAGGCCTTCCAATATGGCTACAAAAAAGGCTGTATCCTTGCAGTATGTATGGGTCCCAACCAGTTTCATTTACCCAATATCCAGATTTTAGCAAATGAACAGGTTTTATTTCAATTATGCCTTAAGGCATACTATCCTATGATTTGCTGCATAATTGAAATAAAACCTGTTCATATGTCAGTAGTAGTTCATCAGCAAAAGTGTGATCAATAAGAGTCATTAATGTTTATCACCAAAGAGTAACTAGACCGTGAACTCTGCTGTCATGTTCTCATTCATGAGACCCAATGATCTAGAACAGTAGGAAAGAAATTCAGGACTCTTGAATGATTAACTCATTCAGCATTAGTGGAATGTATAGATTCTACATTTTCTGTTTTATTTTATGGATTAAGGTACAGTTTGATGTTTCTGAAGATACGTGTCTTCATGCAATTCCATAATGGCTAAACAGTTAGAAGATTAACTGTGTAGGCCTGACTTGACAGAACAGTGTTAATGCTACTTTGGTAGACTCTGAACAAGTATCTGGGTGCTGACAGAGGAGAGGTTAAATTCAGTTCCATGTACAAGTGCTAGACAATTTTGTCAAGTAATTTAACGGAATGGACCTGGTTACAATTCAGTTTCACAGGGAAGGTGGACCCCTGATAAAAGGGACTCAGGAAACTGACTTAAAAGCCAAGATTCAGCAGTAACTACTGTGGGAACTTCTTTGAAATCCATCATAGTTCTCACTTGAAGCAATTGTAACAAAGCAGGGCAGTTACATAGCATTCAACACGAGGTTTTAGAATTAGGACTGCTTTAGGAGTAAGCTTGGAGGCAGGAAGTGAAAGAGAAGGTCAGGGCTTACTAATAGAGCAAGGACTCTTATGTAGAAAAACAGAATATGGCTTAGTATGGATTGTATCTTGGAATATGAGAAAAGATCTGCTGCTATGGGTGTGTGGGTCCACTGTGGGTAGTTTCCCCCAAATAGACAGAAGCTATAAGATGTGTTAACAAAAATTGGGAGTGGTCCCAATGGGAAAAGGACCTGCAGAAACATCTTAATGTTTGCCTGGTTTTGTGCCAGACTTAATCAGAAAGGGTATGTCTACACTACAAAGTTAGTTCGAACTAACGTCTGTTAGTTCGAACTAACTTTCATAGGTGCTACACTAGCGCTCCGTTAGTTCGAATTTAAATCGAACTAACGGAGTGCTTAGTTCGAACTAGGTAATCCTCATTCCACGAGGATTAAGCTAGTTCGAACTTACTAGTTTGAATTAAGGGCTGTGTAGACCCTTAATTTGAACTAGTGGGAGGCTAGCCCTTCCCAGCTTGCCCTGGTGGCCACTCTGGCCAACACCAGGCAAACTCTACTGCCCCCCTCCCAGCCCCGGAGCCCTTAAAGGGCCACGGGCTGGCTACACAGTTTGTGCCAGTTGCAAGGTTGCCAGCACCCGTGCCAGCACACCCAGCAGCTGACACCCCAGGAGCCAGCTACCCGATGCCCCCCAGCCCTCCCCCTCTTCCCGGGACCAGCCTGGCGGCTCCCAGGACCCTGCCCAGGGCCACAAGAGGCAGGCGCCCGCGTGGTCTAGTGCAGAGATCGTGGACCTCATCGAGGTTTGGGGGGAAGCCTCCAATATCCACGATCTCCGCACTAGCCACAGGAACGCAGCAGTCTACCCAGCGCAGCCGGGAGCAGGTGCGCTGCAAAATAAAGGACCTGCGTCAGTCCTACTCCCGGGCCTGCCTGCCAGGGGCCGACCTGGAGGCATACCCCCACTTGCAGGCTCTGGACCGCCTCCTGGGAACTCATGCTGTTCCTGCCCCCCGGGACGTGATAGACCCTGGGGCAGAGGGACCGCTTCAGGAGACGGAGGAGGAGGAGGAGGGCTCCAAGAGCCAGGAGCCTGCCGGCAGCCTGCCCAGGACCCGGGACCCCCGAGGCACCCCACAGAGCCGCTCG